AAAAAAAAAAAAAAAAAAAAAAAAAAACAAATTTCTGCTTACTGTATGTAATAACCTATCTATTAATAATAATTGGGCTTTTGTGGTACCAGAAGGGAAAAGTGGAGGTTTATTTATCTGCTGGAGCAATGAAGTTCAGGTGTTCAGCATCATTAAGCACTCCTTCTGTATGGAAGTGGGATTTTTGGATGAAAAGCAGAACTGTTTGGGATGGGGGATTTTCATTTATGCAAGCACAGACAGCCACATCAGATCAAACCAATGGGCCTACCTGGAGGGAGCCAGACATAAATGGGGTCTTCACTGGTTCTTAGGTGGTGACCTAAATGATATTCTATCAGAGGGAGACAAGAAGGGGGGTAGGAAAAGATCCCTCAGCTCTTTTCATCACTTCAGGAACTTTGTTAGTGGGATGGGGATGCTTGAGATCAATATGATTGGGCATCCATACACTTGGGGGAATAACAGAGAAGGGGAGGGATTTGTAGAAGAGAAGCTCGACAGAGTGTTTGGCTCACTGGCATGGAATTCTGCTTATCCTAATGCAGCAGTTCATAATATTTTTAAAAGTGCCTCTGATCATAGCCTCTTGATGCTAGACTTCTCTCAAAATCAGTTTTACAAGAAAAAGAGGTTCATATTTGACAGAAGATGGTTGCATAGGCCTGGAATCAAGGAGACTGTAGAAAAAGGTTGGCAGTATGAGCAAGGGGGTACTCCAATGTACAATTTCCAACAGAAAATCAAGAAGACCCGATTAGACATCCTAAAGTGGAGCAGCACCTTTAGATCTGAAAATGCCAGGAGGATCACTCAGCTCAACCACCAACTTTCAGAGCTAAGAAAAGCAGGACATTTGATTGACTGGAGAAAATGGGATGAGTTAAAGCATGAACTGGATGCAGCTTATGAACAGGAGGAACAACATTGGGCACAGAAAGCAAGAGTTTCTTGGCTCAAACATGGGGACAAGAACTCCCAATACTTCCATGCCAAGACATTGCAGAGAAGAAGAAGGAATAATATTGCTAAACTCACCAGAGAGGATGGAGGAATCTGTGAAACTAAAGAGCAGATAGAGGCTTGCATTGAGAATTTCTATGCTAAGCTATTCAAATCAGAAGGCTCAGAAAACGGTGAAAGGCTTCTCCAAGGCATTGAACCAGTCATTTCTCAAGACATGAACTCTGAACTTACAGCTCCAGTGGAAGAGGATGAAATCAAGGCTGCCCTTTTCAGCATTAACCCCAAGAAATCCCCTGGAATAGATGGTATGACATCCCTATTCTTTCAGAAATTTTGGTACCTCATTTACTCTGATATTTGCTGTGTAGTCAAAAGTTTCTTTACTTCAGGTAAAATCCTCAAAAGCATAAACCACACTCTGATAACTCTCATTCCCAAAGTTTTAAACCCTGAGCAAATCTCCCACTACAGACCTATAAGTCTTTGCAGTGTTATCTATAAAGTTATTTCCAAAATTATTGCTCTGAGAATCAAACCTTGCCTTCCCCTTTGCATCCGTGAGAATCAGGCAGCTTTTGTGTCTAACAGACAAATTATGGACAATGTGATTCTTGGCCATGAAATTATCCACTTCCTAAATAGACACAGAACTGGCCCTTACTCCTTCATGGCTCTTAAACTAGACATGGAAAAAGCTTTTGATAGAATCGAATGGAAGAGTGTTAGTCAAATTATGCTGAAGTTGGGATTCTGTTCTATGTTTGTTAACTGGGTCATTTCTTGTATTTCTTCTGCTTTCTTCTCTTTTAATGTTAATGGGGAGGTAGCAGGTTATGTCACCCCTTCTAGAGGAATAAGACAAGGGGACCCTCTGTCCCCTTATGTCTTTATTTTAGTCTCTGAAATTTTCTCTCACTTGATAAAATCTGAAACTCTGAAAGGGAACCTCTCTGGCATTCATCTTTCCAAAAATGGGCCTAAGCTCACCCACCTTTTCTTTGCTGATGACACCTTGCTTCTTGCCAAAGCTGAGCCTGCTCAAGCCACTGCTATATTGTCTATCCTTTCTGATTATCAAAGTATTACTGGGCAAAAATTTAATCTGTTTAAATCCTCTATTTTTTTCAGCAGAAACTCCTCTACCTCCTTAAAAGCTTCTGTCTGTCACATTCTTAGGGGCATCACCCCTCAAAACTCCTCTAGATACTTGGGTTTGCCTCTGGGCATTGGGGGGAGCAAAATTGATACTTTTTCCTTTCTTTCTGTTGCTGTGGAAAAAAACATTATGAACTGGAAGAATAAATTCCTCTCCACAGCAGGAAGGGAAGTTCTTCTGAAAGCTGTTTTGAATGCTTTACCAGTTTACTCCATGTCTTGCTTTCTCATTCCCAAAACTATTTGTGCAAAGATTGCTAGTCTATTTGCTACCTTTTGGTGGAACACAGGAAAATCAGAGGGAAAAGTGATCCATTGGAAAGCTTGGAATCTAATGACTTTGCCTAAGGGTCAAGGAGGAATTGGGTTTCATGATATCCAACTGATGAACAAAGCTCTGATCACAAAACAGCTGTGGAGAATCATGACCCAACCTAATCTACTGGTTAGCAAATGTCTGAAGGCTAAATATTTCCCCAATGATAATTTCTTTTCAGTTAAACAGAAGCAAAATGGCTCTTGGCTATGGCACAACTGGCTTAAAGTCAGAGACTCCTTTCAGCTAGGATTGAGATATGATGTCAAAAAGGGGACCAGAATCAATATATTTGAGCACCCATGGATCTCTGGGCTGCCTGGCTTCAAACCACAGAGCAAACCCCCTCTCAACATGGACTTCTGCTGGGTCAGTGAGCTTATTGATAATACAGGAAGAAATTGGAAGAGACAAATTCTACAAGAGCTTTTCACTGAGAAGGAGCAGGCTGCTATTCTGAAGATCAACAATCTCAATCCAGAAGAGGATGACAAACTTGTCTGGCATTGTGGCAAAAATGGGAAACATTCTGTTGCAGCATCTTATGATTACCTGGTGAGAGAAAAATAGAAGCTCCTAGATATTGCTGAGGCTAGTAAGGGGCATGCAGATATCAGAAGAATGAGGAAGAGATTGTGGAACCTGAAAATTAAAGGAAAAATTAAACACTTCATCTGGAAGTGTTTAAACAACATTCTGCCTGTTAATGTCAACCTTGCAAAAAAAGGAGTGCCTTTGGAAACCAGATGCAGAATCTGTGGGGAGGCAGCAGAGACAATGAACCATCTGTTTTTTACTTGCCCTCATGCTGTGAGGATCTGGAAGCTTGCACCCCTCAAATGGGATGGTTTGGAGCACCTTACTGATAAATTCTCTCAATGGTGGACTGCTTTGTGTGCCATTCCTCAATCAGCTGTTAATGAAGACAGAATCCAGCTCACAACTTATCTATTGTGGTGGATTTGGAAAGCGAGAAATTTGTGGGTGTTTCAAGGAATTAGGAGACCAGAAAAGGCAGTTATTAGCATTGCATTAGAAGACTGGTTGGAGTTCAGCAAAGTGTCTCTTGGTTGTTAGTTTTGTGTGTTCTGTTGCTTTTTATGTTCTAGTTGGTAGGGTAGCTTCTGTTTATTTCTTGCAGTAGTTGACTAGATTAGGGCGCTGCCAGTGATCTATGTCTTTTGTGCTCTTTTGTGCAGATAGGAACATAACCCCGAGCTCTAAGCTTTGTATTAGTCGGGGATTATGAACTTATCTGTTGTTTTGGTATTTTTTTTTTTGGGTCTAGGGCACTTGTTGTCCCTCTGTTATTGGACTATTCAGTCCCCCCTCATGTACAAATTGTTTTGAGTTATAAAACCTATCGTTTCGGAAAAAAAAAAAAAAAAAAAGACTTGAAGGATGCCCACGGCAAAATTGGGAATAAATTTGGAAAAATCACTTAAACTCACGACATGAATATATATTAGCATGATTAATTGCTCCTTAATCCCCTCTTTATGCTTAATTATTTACTAAGCATATTGTTTAATTACCAAAATTATTCCGAACGTAAACCGGACGTCGAAAATAATTTCGGATAATCTCGACTGAAAATAATTAATTCCGAAAATAATAATCGACAATGTTATTATATCGGAACTGAAAACATGATTTATATAATTAACATGACAAAATAATTCAGACTTGGACGATTAATTCGAATATTAATATTTCGAATAATTCGTCAACTTAACTTATTAATTCCGAACTCATTAATTAATTAAACGAATCAGAATTAAATCTGGAAAACTTATTCGGTTACTAAAATAAGTAAACCGAATAACTTATCGACTAATAGTCGAACATAGGATTTGACTGACTGATCAATCTGAACTTGAACATGAACATGATTATTTATTAATAAAGGCTAGCTTAAAACTGAAAGCTAGTATTTCCTTTATTAATAAAATACGGGGCGTTACACTTCTCCTATCCCAAATTACATTTGAGACTCCTTATTATAATTATCCGATTTACCTCCCCATGTTTAAGATATAATGTCCATTAATTAATTCGATCACTAATAATCAAGAATTAATTAATATATTATATTATCGAAGCTAGCGCTCGCTCATAGCATTCATATTATGCCGGAATAAATCCACCTGCAGGGTTTAGCATAATATTCCTTCATGAACTCGCTTCGGGGACATCATCATACTAACGCACATGGTGACCGTAAATATCCTAATAGCACATCGAACACATAATGTCATTACCCAATTCATTAAGTATGTCGACCCGGCTTGGATCTCACCCAAAGAATCAAAGCAATAACAATTATGTGCACATGCCTATTTAATATCTTACGGGTTAAGAGCACGCAATAATTAACTGAGGCCTAGTTCATTTACGACGATTAGTATAGAACGAACATCCCTCTCTGGGATCCTGTTCAATACATAAATGTACTAGTGCAACTATCGGTCAAGACAAACCGTACGGTTGACACTACAACCGTTCCGATGGGTTGTTCAATTCCATCTAGGTTGTGAACCAATGATTCTTGTTTCGCAAGTAACTGATATAGTGATCTTCGGTACGCCCGATGACGACCCACTTATTTACATGCAAAAAAACAGAACGTGGAACTTATTTAACCAAACATAATTCTCATTCATCAAGAAATAACAAGTGTAATATCCACTAAAGCAAAGCTTAAGTATATAACACCAACAATAAGGAGAATCTCCATAACAATAATTCAAATCTCACTAATCCAATATCCATTATTCCAAAACGCAATAATATCATAAGACAATACAATAGGCGGAAGTAACATTCAATTATAGACCACCACTCGCCTCCCTCTATCGTACCCGCAATACTAACCTGCATCAATGAAGAGCAGGTGGGGATGAGCACAAGAGGAACAGTAGTGCTCATCACTATGCAGTAAACATTATTTACAATAATGAAACAAAAATCAATAATCAAAAGGTATGGTCTCAGCATGTATACGAAGCATTAATCTAACCCAATCTCCCATCAATAATCACAATAATCACACTCATGTGCACACCTATATCAATAGACTACTGTCGGCTATATATCGAATGGCCCTTGGACTCACATCGAGTGCCTAGCCAGTAGGATATCAATAGACTACTGCCGGATATATATCGAATGGCCCTCGGCCTTACATCGAGTGCCCAACCAGTAGGAGTAAATCCACCCCGATGGCCTTTGGCCTTACACGGGGATCACCAGCCAAGGCTCTCGCCCTGACTGCCAACAATAATAAAGGAGACTACCCATCGGGTACGTTCTATTGCTACGGGGATAACCGTTCGACGGCCGGCACAACTCACATCGAAGGCTACATGTTCCACATGCATACTTTGATCATACCACAAGTAAACAATAATAACAGTAATAACATTTACAACATAGCCAATTTTTCAAAACCCACCTGGAATTGGACGATAAAGCAAAATAACCAGAAAGTCGTAGGTGGTCGAAATACCGCTCGTCAGACACCTACATAAGTCAAGACAGTCCCATAAGCAACTATCTCGACTCTATACAAATAACGAGAATTATACTTAGTCGAATCACATCGACTAAGAAACTCGTGGAAGTTGTGGATTTGGAACAGTAGGACGACTCTTAGACTCGACCAACCAATTAATAAATCATATAAAGGCATGCAATAAAGGTTTGACACAAAAACAAGGTCATCAGGTCAAGGACTTGCCATTAAAGCCAAAGCCGGTCAAAAGAACTAGTTTTAAATTTATAAGAATATGGATTTAAGGAGATAGGCTTGGACAACGCATTTCAAATTTTTAC